TATATATATATATGTATATCTTTAGATGGTTGTGGCCACATCTTTTTCACATATTGATTTACACAGAAGATAAATCCTAACTTCAGTGCTCATCTGACTTTAGTCGGGCTCCACTGAATGTGCTGATTATGATTGTGTAGGATTTTAGAAGCAATTTCCCCAAGTATAAAATCTTTTAACATATTCTACAAAAAATGTCATAATCTGAACATTTTGGGAAATTCTTTGACTGTCTCTTTGACCCTTTCTCATTTTGAGAAACAGAGCTCATGCAAAAGCCTGAATAAAAGTTCTTAAAGATTTTTGCTAGTGATCTGCCCTTTGGGACACAGTAAGTACAAATCACATCCTTCTTGCACCCTTCCTAAAAATATATCAGACATAAATATTCTTGTTTTTGTTTTGTTTTTTTGGATGGGTGTTGCTCTTAAAAGATATTTTTGTAGAATGTGCCAGGCTAAGAAGCAACAGGATTACAAACTGAAGCTGTTAGGTATTAACTCACCTAAAGATTAGAAGTTAGCAGCAGCAGCAGCAGTGTCGGTGGTTATTTCCTTCAATGTTTGAGGTTCAGGTTTAAATGGTTGAACAGAAAAGGTAAAAGGTCACAAAGCACCAATGAAGAACATACTGAATAGATAAGAGACAGGACGAAATAACCACTGACAAAATAATATTCTTGCATGGTGTTGTAACAAGAAAATGTTAGAAATCTAACTTTCTTTTGATATATATATTTAAGATAATAATTAGTTTGTTTAATTTTGGAGATTAATGTCTCTCATTTTAGCAAACTTCATATAATTTTTCTTCTTGTGTCCATTTTTATTCATATGTCAGTTCCTCCCCTCTCATGTAGTATTTGTTTTCAGACCAGATGAATGGAGTAGTCTGACTCCCTTAAATTTTTTTTGTCCTGGTTTTTGGCAGTTATTTCATTTCTATAATATCATCATATCATGTGATAATGTGCAAAGTAACAGGACTTTGCCTGTCTAAGGTCACTGTTCTTTTGGAAATATTTGAGGATCAAAGTCTTTGTTGACAGCTCAGTGGGACAGAGGCACAAACGAGCCGTTTCAATTTAGTACCACTTACTTTTACAGCCTAATCCCAACTTTTTTGAGCGTCACGAAGCATAACAACTTTTTCTTTGGAACTGGGCTTGAACACATTTACTAACATCAGTCTCTGTGTGATGGATCTCTGAGAGGTGAGACTGCACGATCCTGAGGTAGATACCAGATCCTCCATCAGGTCTCGACACTCCATAACTCACGAATCGAGTGTAAAGTAAAATTTGCGTGTGAATTAGAAAATATTGTTCTGACTATAATCATTAAGGAGAAGAACGTGACTGCACTGGGAACTCCAGTGCAAACAGCCTTTGTAACAGTTCATTAGAGTATTGGGCACACCTTGGACAGGTAAAGTGTAAGAACTACAATTCCACAACAATAATCCACCTTTATTCTTTTAGCTGAAGAACCAGTCTTAAGAGCAAGAACAATGCATACTCACACAGAAGCCATTTTAAAAAGAGGACAAAGGGGCTCAAATCCTGCAAATAAAAGCTTAAGCTAAAATAAAAAACAAAACAAAACACAGGTCATAAAATAATTTAACCTTCACTATCTACAGAACAGTGACTGGTGCTGCTTTGTGTTGCAAGAAGTTGATGAGACTTGTGGGCATTTCCAGCTGGTCGATGCAGTTGATCTTGTTAATCTTTCTGAGGTGTCTCCGCACAGCAAGTCGGCACTGTGAGGTCAAAGCTTTTGGATTTCCTGGAGACAAAAGAAAACAAAGTTATACCGACAATATAATAATAATAATAATATTTATATTTAAAGATGTTTACAGTAACTATTATTACTAAAAAAGACATCCAACATATATTTAACAATCTCCCAACTGGTCGTGGCAGATGGCTGCCATTCCCTGAGCCTGGGTCTGGCAGAGGACACTTCCTGTTAAATGGGAGTTTTCACTTCCCACTGTCACCAAGTGCTCACTCAACGGTGGTTGTTTGATTGTAGGGTCTCTAACTTACAATGTAAAACATATTGAGGTGACTGCTGTTGTGATTTGGCACTATATAAATAAAACTGAGTGGAACATATAACTGCTGCTGTATACATATTGTAAGTACATTATTTAAGAATTTTAGCTTTTACTGTGGGGAAAAAAAAAAATCACACCTACAAACTGTGTTAATGTTAAATACAAATGCTAGTCAGACATATAGTATGTAAAGCAAAGAGATGCCTGGAGGATAAATGTTAGAAGGCATCTGTAAAGTCATATTATAAATGTATTTATTTCATAGATAAAACTTTAGCACTCCTTTAGTTACATCGTCATCAGTAGTGTTAAAGATCTGAAGTGAAAAAGCGCTGAAGAATCTGTCCGACACCTCTTTCTCGCAGCAGCAGCTCCACAGCCTCGTTCTGCTTCGTCGACTTCTCGATGATCAGCGTGGGGAGGTAGACGTTTGCACCGAAGTCGATCAGAAGCTGGATGTACTCCACGCCACAGCCGTGCCTAAGGCACATCTCCAGCACAGTTTTGGGCTGCTTGTCAGAGCTCAGCAGCTTGGCATCAGTGCAGTTGTAGTCTGGGTCTGCCCCGTAGAGGAGCAGCAGTTTGAAGCACTCCATGTGTCCATAAACAGCAGCCAAATAAAGCGGCCCACTGGAGACTCTGGCACTCGAGGTCCACAGTAAGACTTTGGCGCGGGAGTTCACCTCAGCGCCGTGTTTTAGTAGCTGCTTTAGAATCTCTGCGTCGCCTTCCCTTGCAGCAGTGAGGACCGGTGAGCAGTTGTTGGACGAGCTTCCGTTGGGGTTGGCGCCAGCTTTGAGGAGAGTTAAGACACAGTCAAGGTATTTCCCTCGAACGGCTGCGAACAGAGGCGTCTGAGCCTTGACGTCCACGCAGTCTATGATGGCACCGTGAGCTAGAAGGACCTGCAGACAGCTGAGGTGGCCTTTAGACACTGCAGCATGCAGGGGTGTGCCTGCAATGCCCCAGCCACCTCTGCAGTTGATGACTTTCTTGTAGATTTCTTGGCAGAGCATCTCATCGAGGAGTCTGTCATTGTTTTGTAACACAGCCTGCCTCAGCTGGGAAATTTCACAACTCCTTTTCTCTTCTTCAGCGGTCCTTAGCTTGAGCATAGAACCTGCTGCAAATGCAAAGACAGAGAATAAATAATACACCAAATATACAAACGTATGATCCTCATACAAACACTGCAGTGCATTTCTGTTTGTCAACGTCATCTGTTCTCAAAACAGATTTGGTGTCCTTAGGGCACCAAATCAGCAACCAGTGTTTTGTATTAAAGAAAACAACAACAACAACAACAACAAAATATAAATAAGGCTTCAGATCTGACTCGGATAAAAGTGGCAAGATAAAGTTATTATTCCATTTCCGAAAAAAAAAAAAAAAAAAAGTATATATAGGCGTTAAAGTTTAAGCTGGTCATTAAGACTTTTTCCACCAAACTTCATTCAAAATCTTTACAATTTTAATAATCGTCCGAACTATGCATCCAATTAATCAATCTATGCTTGCTTATGATAAATAAAACCTTCTGGAAACCTTCGGCATAAAAAGGCATAAAGGCTCTTATAATTAAACCAACCGTTTGTTAGAAGTACTGCGATTTTCCCCCGTGAGGCTGTAATGTAGGAAGAAATGGGACATATTTAGTTTAACTTTCTTACACTGTGTACATGCCGACTCATGCCTCTTATATTAAGGAAGGTACCCATCGCATCTCTACACGACATACAACATACACACACGTATAACGTTTCTTATCAGGACTAATTCGCGGACGATAAATAGCTTCGCTAATATTCACCCTAAAACCCCATTGAAAAAACCCAACTAGATATTAAATTCCAAATATCCCGTTAGTACGCAAACATCTCCATCCTTTAACAGTGCTTATTTCAAAGAAACAAAGCTAAACCCTTATGTTTTCTTCGTTTGACATTACCTAAGATTTGTCACCATCAACAGCCTCCTTCTTTGCTTCCTGTTTTCTGCTCTTCCTCTGTGGTGTGTTTGTGTGACGTACCGCTGCTGCACCCTAGTGACTTTTATTTGCAATGGCAAACTGAAGCTTAAAATAAATATATATAGCATAATAGATATTTAACAGATGCAATAGCAAAATATATAAATAGTCTATTAAATTGTAAAAAACAAACAAACAACAACAGTATTATTAACCGACTTTTTGCAAATCAAATCTGATTTTTTGCAAATCTGATTTTTAATGCAGATAATTATTTTGGGGAACCCTTATGAGCTGCAGTCCACAGTTTGAGGAACTTTAATTTGATTTTGAGTTGTAGTTTTATTAGTGCTTTAACTGTTTCAGTTCACAGTTACCTATAGGTCAATCTGATGTAACTGGTAAAGCATAGGCACTTTTTTAATGGACCATTTTCAATCACAAGATAAAATTTTATTCACTTCATTGCTGAGTTAATAAAAGGAAAAGTTGTTAAAAATACATAAAGTCATGGTGAAAACTGACATTGTGAAATGGAATAAAATCCCATATTTGCCATGCTTCCTGGCTCTTGGACCCATGGTTTTCAGTGTTTTCAGTTAATTATTCCTTTTGGGTTTTGATGAGTGTCTAATGTACATGTCAATAATGTTGTTTTGTAATGCCTTACGCTTATGAGTAAACCCATCTGATTCCTGGTATTGTTATTTGTGCCTGTAGTTTTTCGGTTAGTTATAAATGACTTTAGATTTGTTAGTTCCCTTAACGGTTCCCTTTCTGTTCCTTCACTCTCATCTTTGTGTCGGTCTTTTTATTTTTCTCCTTCCCTGTTTAGTTGTGTTAAGTTAATCTTATTCTCCATTGGGTTGTGTCTCTCTTCCTGTTATATTTTGGTAAGTGTTGTTCTCTGTGGCTTGCATTACTTCCCCATCTCCTTTGGTTAATTGTCTGCAACTGTGTTTCCACCTCCCTCATTAACCTCAGTGATGTTTTTCTCTTTTAAAAAAAATGTTTTTTGCTAGTTTAACTCTTCATGAAAGGTTACATCACCCAGGGGTCACCACAGCAGATGGATCCACATTTGATTTGGCACAACATTCCTTTCCCTTTTTTTAGGCTGGGCATGCATCCTACTGGTCTTGAACCAGGAGTATTTTCCATATAAGATGACACCACATAGCCCCAGTCTTGCTTGGATGCAACATTATTAATATCTAACACTAATGAATTCAGATCACATATTCTTAACATAACTAAACATAACATAATAAAACAAAATATAACAACCCATTAGAAGTTAATACAAAAAGAAGTGGGAAACACTCGTATATTTACCACAATAAAACAAGACTAAAAACATTGAACATATGTAGGAGGCAATGTGCCTGAACTGAAAAGAACACGAACATTACACGAACATGTCAGGCTGACCAACATGCTGTAGAACATTAACAAAATTTGAATCTTAAAGTTTTGTATGGGTAAAGTTTTTTTTAAATTGACTTAAGAGTTATTTTTTTTCAAAGACCATTTGAATCCATAAATACTGAACTATTATATAATTCACAGAAATCAGTGACTTTGGTCCCTTTACAGAATTTTAAGTTCTTGGGAAAGAAAGAAAAAAGAAAGAAAGAAAAAGAAAAATACAGAAACTTCTAAGTTAATGCGCCGTTATCACCACCCTCTACATCAGGGTTGGGAGAACTCCAGGCTTGAAGGGCTGGTGTCCTGCAGGTTTTAGATCTCCTCCTGGGTAAACACACCTGAATCAAACAATTAGTTCATTACCAGGCCTTTGGAGAACTTCAAGACATGTCGAGGAGGTCATTTAACCATTTAAAGAAGCTGTGTTTAATCAAGGACACATCTAAAACCTGCAGGACACTGGCCCTCGAGGCCTGGAGTTCCCCACCCCTGCTCTACATGATTTGTTCACTCTCCAGGCAACCCGGATGGCATCCTGCCTTTCAAATCTAGTCTTTGCGTGTGCGTCACAGATCCTTTGTTGGGTAAGTGTTGAGGTCTTGCTGAGACAACAGTGTGTGGACACACTGCAGGAGAGTGACCTTTCTGGCTCTAACAGAAAAAAAAATATTTTGGCCACACTGTGCTGTGAAGCTAAAACAACTACTGCAGTGACTCTTTGGGCTGTGAGGCTCATTCTGTCAGGACCCTTAGTTGCATCCAGCCTGAAGGAGTCTGCTTCTTTCCTTTGAGTGCCAGGAGGTTTAACAACATGGTAATGAGCAGCTCAGGCCTCCTCTGTCCACTCTGCTTCTATAGTTGTTGCTGAGAGACAAAGTAAAAGTCACCCAGGCGTTCACGGAGAACAGAGAAGAGGCCTTTAAAACAACAGTACCACCATAACTCATAGTGTCTCTGCAGGAGGAGGGAAGGAGGGCCCAGTGGAGATGTGTGTGTGCAGGAGGCACAGAAGTGGATGGAAAGGAAGATAAGACACTAAATTTAAGATGAGGAGAATCTTCAAATCTAGTGTAATACAAGGAGAGAATTAATTTCTACAATGCTCTGTTTCCATGCGTGATTTGCTCGGCAAGATGAGAGCCACGCTTGTGCCGCAGAAACACTCGCTACCCTGGATTATTTGTATGGTTTTGATCACAACTGCTGGAGGTGAGAATCTTAAGTTTGTACCAGGTTACTAAATAGAAAAGAAAAGCTGTGTTCTGGAAAAACTGCAGTATCAGCTTCAACATTTCAAAATAATTTCAAAATTCAGAAAACGTCTGGTTATATTTGAAGACGAGATCACAGAATACGACAGTATTGTTGTAGCACTCTTCATCCACGTTACATGTGTTGTCAGTATACAGCAAGGATTGTGCATTATGGCTTTTATTGTATATGTTGCTGTTTGTTTAATGTTAAAGAGAATGTGACTCCTATTTTCACCTTGTGTGTGCGGCAGAAACGTAGTCCTGGAAATGCGTACTTACTTTGCGAGGACTTTGCCAGCTTGGTGGCTGTTTGTGGACGAATTTTGTCAGCACATTAACAAACTGCAAGAAAGTGCAGAAAGCTTTAATAAAGCTTAATAACGTTGGTGTTTATTAAAGTGAGTTAAACCGAGTTAAAGATGAAGTGCAATATACTTAAATGTAATAGAAAATAACTTAAACATATATTTTTGAAGAAGACAGATAACATTGTGTTTAGTTTTGTACCAGCCAATCAAAAAGTGTTCTTTAAACTAACCTTTTTTTCTTTTAAAAAAAATATGAAATATTTTCTTAGATGCTTTAAAGCTATGGTTTTTTGTTTTTCAAAATAAAACTTCCTTCTTCATGAAATGATAGTGCTCCATTATTTAGGAGTTTATGAGCATGTGTTAAAATGCCAGACTTTCAAAATTAAATCCTGCTATCACAATGTAACTATTAACTGCTGTCACCTGTAAGTCTAAAAAAAATCATTATTATTAAACACCAACTTTATTGGTGTTTAATAATAATTACCAGACTAAAGTCTGGTAATAACAACAGTTTCATTGATGTATTTCAAGAAATTCTTGTTGATAATGATACATTTTTTAATCACTGAAGCGTTGAACAATATTATATTATATTTACCAGCTTTTACCAACTATTTAACTTTTTTCACAAAATCTCGACATTGTAGCAGTTTGAATATTTGATTCCTGGTTTAATCCCAAGAGGATCTACTTAATATGTGAGGCTTCCTTCTGTGCGACTGCACTCGAAAAAGAAAAAATTGCCCAAAATGTAATTTTCACTTTAAATATGAAATTACATGCATTTTTCCCCCATATAATTTGTTACATAAGAAATGCAAGTATTTCAAATATTAAATTTAATGGAAGCTGATCAAATGAAAT